ACGCAGATCAGACGATCAGAGACAACATTACTACAATACATCATGTGTCATTAACCAGTGAGAAAACTTTATAGCACAGTTAGTAAAAGTACTACAATAGCACAGTTAGTAAAAGTACTACAATACCAGGAAGGAAGATCAGGTTGTTGATGTTTGCCTGCCATTCTCGCTCTGTCTGCAATAGCGTATGTGAACGCGCTGATGACGTATCCTTTGTGCGCGAACCGGGTGCGCAGAGGTATGCAAATACACATGTTGACAGGCAGGTAGGAAAGTCAATCAAAACGCTCGGAACGAGCGTTTTGATTGGACGAACATTTATTGGTCCTATGCCTTCCACAGAATATATCAATACAGATAAATACATTTAGACCACTTAACTTAATGATTGCTATCAGGGTGTGAAAAGACTTTTAACCAGCATAACAAAAAATTTTTCTGAAGACAATCACCTATTGCACCTTTAAGTCGGTTGCTGGTTTCAGCTAGGTTGGGTTTTCAATAGAAGAGCCATGAGAATCTCTATCTAATCTGCTCTCTAGTCATGTCCTTACCAAATACACACAAACAAAACATCAAAACACTTGTGCACCACATGACTGGATTGTGAAAAGTTTATGTTATATCGCAGATTTGAAGCACAGCGTTTGGAAAGGAGGGTTATTGTAGAGGCGGAGCAAGTTATTTTATATTCTGATGAAAGATTAATATGAAGACAACCTTTTTTTTTATTAATGTGCACTAATGAATTGTTCACACAGAGAGCAGGTAAGTGTATTACGTAAAAAGGGCACATTTTGATTTCATGTTTTTTAAAGCATGCAGGATAAGAATAGAAACCGTTTCTAACAATATCAGTGGAGCCCTTGATGTGGGCCCTAAAACTGCTATCTCAGATTGTTTTGGAAGTGAGAGAGACTTTATGGCTTGCCAACCTCTTATCTCCCAACAAACCCCTTCATCAGGTCGGCCTTAAACACCAGAAATGCTTTTATAACACCACTAAACACCTGTGCCTGCCTTTACATCCCCATACCCCCTCTTCTGAGACATTCATGCAATGAGCCCTTTAATAAAATCTCTCAGTACAGTAATTTATTCCCCTCTGGAAAGTAAAACACAAGAGTAAGCGGCAGTCAGCAGGGTTAACCTGTAAACAGAGCAGGGATGCTGGGATATCCAGACAGGATATAAGAATGAGGGGACAGACAGTGACGTTCTGCCCCTCCAAAACAATAAAAGAGGAGGGAGGGTATGTTTTTATCTTTGAGCAACATGCTGTAAAACACACACAAAGCTGTGATCGGAAACAATGGTCCTGGTCTGTGTGTGTGTGTGTTTGTGGTGTGGGGGGTTGCAGGAAGGAAGCCAACTCAACTCCCCCAGACAAGACGTGGTAAGAAGAACAGGAGAATCAAGGGTTTGGAGGAAATGGAGACCAAATGTTTAAAGGGGTCATATGACGTTGCTAAAAAGAACATTATGTTGTGTATTTGGTGTAATGCAATGTGTTGCAGCGGCAACAACAATAATATAAAAGTTACACCTTCTTTCTTTGCGGTGTTATGCAAATCTTCCCACACAGTGACGTAGACATGTGGGGGCGTGTTTAAACGAGCCGTTTTAGGAGGGCGTGGACAAGTCTTAACTTTTATAAAGAATATCTCTTTGGATTTGAGACTTTAGTCTTTGCAACTTTACAGATCTTCTTTATGCACCAAGAGCTTGTAACACTCCAAAGAGAAAAGAAAAATTTAAATCGCATCATATGACCCCTTTAATGCAACATCAAGTCTCAATAACAATATGCTTACACATGATAATTTTTCTAGAAAGGATCCGTGAAACAACTCCACAAACCAGTCATGATGGTGTTCAAACAGTTCAAATTAAGCCACATAAAGAGTTGAAATAGCTAGATTTTTTAGATTTTCTTTTTTTTTTTTAAAGTGAGTTGCTATGTTGTTCGCTTGTTGGCTCAAGACAATAACAGTTCTTTATTGGCATTGATGGTTCCATGAAGAACCTTTAACATCCATGGAATCTTTCCATTGCACAAAAAGGTTCTTTATAGTGGAATAACATTCTTTTGATTATTAAAATGTTTTTCACACTAAGAAAAAATGGTTCTTTTAAGAAATGTTCACTGAAAGTTCTTTGCGGAACCCGAAATGGTTCTTTAATGGCATCACTTTGGAAACCCCCTTTTGAAACTTTTTTTTTTAAGCGTGATATATTAAGTCTGTATGATATTCTATGGTCTCCAGATATGGCCTCTCCTTTAATGCAGGTCTATGACAATTCAAATCCATAACCCTAAGAATGCACAATAGTAAAGCTTATAGCAGTGATAATCAGGAACATCTCACTTCCAAATGCACAGGATTCCAAAGAAGAAACCATGACAATGTCACGTTTTTAACGCTCAATTGAGATTAATTTGATGTCTTCTCCTGTAACAGGTAAGGTGCTATACCACAAAAATTGCCCACAGATGAGCACAAAAGTGCAACTTCAATCCCAGCATAAGCATCAAACCAAAATGAACAACCGAAATAACTGAGAGGAGAAGTGAAATTGAGAGCTTTCTCCGAAACGAGGCCACATTTCATGAGTCTTTGAGGAACATCGCTGTTTCAAAGCCAAGAGAGCGTTGCGACAGCAGCCTCTGTCTCTACAAGCCACCGAGTCCAATAGCAGCTGAATAATAAAGCCACTGAAAGACACCACAGAAGGTCTTTCACTGAGCCTGGATCCCAACCTGCATCTGAATGCATTTGTACATCAATTCCCTGAAATATTCATGTTCTTTGTAAAGAATTCATGTGAGGCCGTGAGGGAGGCAGTCCCTGGAGGGACAGAGCGAATCCACTAATGAAGCTACACCCCTTTTACGCCTGTGGGACGCTATTGACCGGTCCGTTCACTTAACGAGAAAAAAACTGGTTTGGTGACCGTCCAGCTTGGTTTGCATGAACATCGTGCTTTTCTTAGCTTAATCTCAAATTAAATAAATAATGGTATTTGTTTAGTTACATATACATTAGCGGCAGACTACTTTGGGATTTTTTTTAAGGCATTTAATATTTGGTTAAAATACTTTTTGCAGAATAATATGCACACTCTTTACAATAATAGGTTGATTACACTGTTAATCTATCAAAGCATTGCATTGTTTGGGTGTCCCAATCAGCTCAACTGGTATCTGTTTGTCCCCCAAATGGCAGACAGGAGGAATGCTCAGGACACAGAAATTACAAATTTTGCCTTTATTTGCTGATGCCTTTACATATTTTATACACATATATTATATAATATTTAATCAGAAAATATGAAAAGAGAAAAATGTCCACTGTAAAATAGCACAGTTGTCAGCCAATGATTTCAAAATCTCAAATATATATCATTCTATCACTAATGTGCATCCTCTTTTACTTGTCCTGCTAGATACAAACAACAGTGTAAAATCCTGTGCTTTTCATCAACCTTAGACAATGCAAAATTGCCCTCCGTCATCCTCTTCTAGAATGAAGGTGTAGCAGTGGTGGTGTGGTAATAACACACAGGTTGAATGTCACCACATGAATCAAGCAGGAGTCATGGTTGAAACGGTAATGTTCCAGACAAAGCTATAAAACTCTGAGCTCTGCGAATTTTATCTCTAGATACAATACCTCACCTGTCTCAATCATTGAACAGTGATGACAGTTAAGGGCACGGCTGCATGATGGCACAAGCTGTGAGTGTACGACCAAGACATTGTCATATCCGGTTAGCAGCACACCTGCACCCTTTAGCTAACATTAGCCTAAATACTCATTACCCAAGACCAAACGGACACATCTACCACAATAAATTTAAGTGTACATGAGTGTATGGAAACTTCTGAAACAATGCCTTATTGTAGATATTTCTCATATATTTGATTCAGAGGTAAGACAGGTATCAGCATTTTTTTAGCAGGCTAAATCTATAGCCTAATAATTATTCTAAATAATTGTAAAATCATAATCTTTGAATCTGTTTGTTCCCAAAATCGTCTAAATGCAAGACACCGAAAGGCTATGTGACTTGAAACAGTAAGGCCTCAGTAGTGCAAAACAAGTATGTTCTTCGTGTATCTGATTTAGATTTATTATTGTCTATGGATGGTGAATTACCTAAGTATCGCCTTATTGATGAACAATGTAAAATGGATCATGTGGATCTTTCTTTAAGAATGGTGTAAAGTATTAAGGAAATTGCATCGGACTAAATCGAATTGCTCATTCCTAACACTGCAATACTGTATTGCTAAAATAATCGGAAAGCTCTAATTTAGGCTGTTAACTTTAAATATTAAAATATACCATTGGTAATACTCAAATAATAAATATCTACAAATGCACAAAAAAAATAATAGGCTGTATTTAAAAGATATCACGTGCATTCTGGTATTCAAAACGTTCATTGTTTTAATATGTTCTTATATCGTAAGTTGAAGGGCAATTTATACACATACCTTACTGAAAACATTAGCTGTTAGCTATATATAACCGTTGCCTGTCACAATTCATATTAAACCGATATGTGCACATCTCATATTTTTTCTAAATCACATTTACACCTCCACAATTCAGTTCATGTAGACAGAAGGATTCTAAGTCTTAAATCCGGACTTAATCAGCAAGGATATGAGCATAACAAACAAAAAAGGTAATATCGGCTTATCTATGTATCTACCTACGTTGGTTCTATAGCACCGAAAATAAGCTAAATATAAATAATAATAAAAATATATAATAAACATTCTGTAACCAGATTTTGGTGTAAATGGTTCTTGAATCGCTATGTGGATTCTTTGATGTGACATTATAGGTTTTTCAAACATAAATAAGCAATAGCCTAATCAAATACAGATCTGATATAAACATGGACATTGACTATTCTCTGAAATAGTGTGTAAACTCTTTGTTGAGCTTCCACAGAAATGCCAGCGAATCAAAGAAAACGCAACAAACCTGAATGCGCCGCCATCGGTAAGTGAGATGGATAATATTTCCCGGCTGGAAAATGAGGCGTATGTTGCACAGAGCCGTGGCCGGAGGAGGAGATGCGAGAGGCGGCGCGATGCACTAGAGTGGCCCGCTCTGAGAGGAGATGTGCTGGAGCGGAAAAATCACGACCCTCCATTCCAAAGAAAACAGCCGATATAATCCAAAATCAAGCGGAAATCAGATGAAACCTATGTACTGTAATCCGTATGCGTTTGCTTCAGTGGAAAGCGCGCCTCTCCTGCTCATGTTGAAGTCCTCAATCATCTTTTCTACAAAGAAAGAAAGAACAAACGTTATAATCTCGGTGTGGCACACCACCACAGCTGACATACATCTGCTTCATGCACTCAGTATTCGTAAACATAAATTGAGACCTAAATTTGATGTAGTGCATTCACTTAGAGAAGGGCTGCATTAGTTTTTTAGGCGTCCATTGAAATCATGTGAAAGAGATGTGAAAAGTCCATAGATGGCAGTGATTGAATAGGCCTGATAGAGACCGATCCTTAGTGTATGGATACGTGATAAAGATACACACCTTTTCCAGGACAGAGAAAAATTATGTTTTAAATTGAGATAGTATCTTCATGTTTTATAATTGCAGGCATGCACACATATGATGGCAAACAAACGACATGCGAACACTTGAGCATGACAAGTGACATATATTGTTTGCAGACTATGAATGTCGACTTCAGCCCCGTGTGTTGATTGTTTTTATTGTTAGAAATCATTTACACATTAGTGAAATCTGACCAGATAAATCACATAGGCTAGTTTTTAAGACATGTGCATGGCGTGAATGAAAAAAAAGAAAACGATGGCATTGATTAGATGCATATGATGAATTAATATGAAAAATAATTGTGATATTTTATATATCATATTTTAGATCATGTCCATTGTGTTTTACATATCGTGAGATACATGCACTTTGAATAAACAGGGCATCGGTTCACTTTTAATAGCAATACATATCAAACTAGTATGATAAAAAGCAACAACATATAAACTGTTAATACCATTTGCTAACAGAAATCAATTTTATACAAGTCCTTTTTGGTTTTAGCAGAACACACTGAAAGACAAGTGTGTGTGTGTGTGTGCGTGTGCGTGTATGTGCGTGCACATGTAAACAACTGCAATTTCCATTCATCTGGATGACCTGTTTTAGCTTTTATGCGGAGCAATTAAATCTAACAGAACCTAACACACAATATCTAGTGTCGAGTTCCAGCCTACTAATATTCGTTTGTTTTATATGTTCCCTTCAACAAGCCTTTTGTGCTCTCTCTTTCTTGTAGACTAGATTTGAAGAAAATTGCACAATGTCACACAATAAATGAATTATTTAAGTGGGTTCCTTAATTGAAATGCGCAGACTACTATCAATTACAGCATTTTCAGAAAAGATACAAATGAAATAAATGCAGTGTTTTCCGCTGATGCAGGCCATGCATACAAACCAAGGTGGCCTTTCAGCAAGCAGCTTTTGTCTCCGTCAGCCATTACCGTGCAGCTCCAACACTCCACAACAGCCGTCCATTTCGAGCACACAACATTCAATCACACACTGCATGATTTGTTTTAAACTTAGCCTTTGCATGCAGTTGTATACTTAAATGCTTTGTATCGACAGCCGAATCGTGAATGTTGTTAAATATTTGCATAGAATCCTGACGCAAATAGAAGTTGTTTTTGTCTCGTGCGTGACAATGCACAAAGTAGAATGCTAGAAAACCTAGTCTTTCTATGTCAAAGTGAGCAAAAAGCATAACTCTACTGGGTATCTTGTGTTCATGGAAGACAGAAACTCACAAAGACATTCACATTATTTTTATAGCTCGTCTGTCGGTAGTGTTATTCGGCTGGGAGAGCGCGCTGCCCGGACACAAGCAGTGAATCGAGCCTCTCTCATGCCGATCCGAAATAAATCAGAATTGATCATTACAGATAAGCATTGATCAGCGAAGAAAAACACCGATCTGACTCTGATAATAAAAGACAACTGGAAATTTGGATGATGCACGTTTAATTTTTATTTGTTCCTTGTCATGTTTCAAATCAGGTGCTGCTATGCAATATCTTTAGAGAAAATATTTCGAATTTAACAATAAAAAAATAATTCATTTGTAGAAATATTGAGCATAAAAGCGCAAAAACGATATTAATACAGATGGTATTTTAAATATACGTGATTACAGAATTCATGAAAATATCACTTGCAATTAGAGTTGCAAACTTAACAAGGCCATACAAGAATTTAATGTAGAAATATTCATTTCACAAAATTACATATTAAACAAATGCCTTAGGAATATAAATGAAGTGAATAAATGCGGCCTGTTGCACGGTGATTAAGTGCGTATATTTATTAATTATTTTACGTTTATAGGTTTTCCAGTTCCCTTTTGGATGCTGAACCATGAATGTTTGTGCTGTTTCGGTAGTTAACATTATTTTCTTTATTTCTTTGAAGGTCTTTGAAGACACAACCATGACATAAAAAAATAAATATGAATTACTTACTGGTATGTTATATCCTTGCATAACAATAAATAATTTTAATTAGAAATCAAGAAAAATATTCAGAGCAATGATGTCACTTATTTTAAATAGCATATTTCAGTGGTTCTGTCCTAGTTCCCCTCATACGATTGAAGCAGTTGTCGCTCGCCGGTCTCGGGCGTCTAAAGGCCACTGAAGTCGCGAATCGAGTCTCCAAACGGCGATTCTCTTATCCGGCGCCGATCGTGCGGCTCAACTCCGGAGAGTAAACACACCCGCTCATTGGTCAGATTCACGAAGGATAATGAGCTGGCGTCGCTCGCCTGGGGTCACTCCACGTTCTGATTGGTCGAAATCAGTAACCAATAGGAATCCGACGTGGACAGCGAGAGCAGTGAGGCGAGCGGCAAATTCAAGCAAAATACTAAAGACTGGTTACAATGTCTTAAAACCTTAAATATTCCTTTGCAAACGAGCACAGGATTCCGACCTGGAGCCAGTTACTGTGTAGCCGCTGTCTTAAACAACGTCAAACAGGTATGTATGTGATGTATTTTCTTTAAGAATAAGCCATCAAACAATATATGTGACTAATGAAAACAAACACTATTAAGAGTAAACACTATAGAGCCTTCAAAAATCGATGTATAAGTGCGACAGATCCATATATACCTATAAATGCACTGCACTGAATGTTATAGTTTGCATTAGTTTATTTAAAGCTAACAGCCCGTGTGTGGATTTATGAATAAGCTTTTAAAAAAGGCTCCATTTGGAGGAGGATTTGATTGGTTGGCACGTTGCCAACGTATTGTCACTCACCGAGTGTAAACAAGACTCTGATTGGCTGCTCGCCAGTCCGCATTGGGCTCTCTGAAAGGAAAAAAAAGAAATAAATAACAGGATCTGCGGTTTCAAGGCGTCCCAGGTTAGATGATGAAAACCGATAAGAAGGAACAGTTTCAAGGCGCTCCAAAAGGCGGACCCTCTATGGCCCTGGAGCTACACTCGGAGAACGCGAGAAGCAGAGAAGGAAATGTTCGATATGTTGAAGGATTCAAATTTGATGTTCGATACCTTCAGATCTGGAACAGATAAACATGAAACAGTCACAAGGCGGATTTCTGAACACATCGGTAACGATGAAGAAAATCGGGAAAAAGACGAGTTTGGATCAGCTTTACTCGAACCCATTTATTCTGAACGATAGATAAAGCCCGACGGAATAAAAAAAATAAAAAAACACGACGGAATTGAAAAAAGGATAGACAAAAACGCTACGCTACGATATTTTATTTCAATATATAAAAGGTTTACAAAAAAGGGAAAGAAAATATGTATCATTTTGTGTTTACATTCTTTTCTTCAATCTGTTTCGTTGAAAGGTATGTGCTCTTATCTAAGAGGAAATGTGCTTTTATATATAAATAGACTATTAACTAAATGTACATTTAAATAAAGTAATACATTTTAATTTACATTTTCAGTTTGGCTTAATGTTTGCGATTTACAGGTTACATACAAACTGTCTCATGCACGGCTCTTTGGGCAAAATTCTATATTTTTTTAATCAAATCTGACCTTGTAGAGTGGTGTAGTGACGTGTATATACAGGAATGTGTACTGAGAAACATTTAATACATTGTTTTTTTTCCTCCTCGTTGTTACCATGTGTCAGCATGAATTATATGTACAGAATTGTAGTGAAAATATATGTAGATACAGAATGAGCAATTTCCGTATAGAAAGAAGAACATATCAAGACTGAATGACAGGTCTCTGATTGACAGTCCAGCTCTATCTCAAAGAAAGCAAGAACTGTTTCTCTGAGACACAAAAGGGTTCAAATGGACTTATTTCTGTTTTTTTTGCGTAAACAACGGAAAACACTATAAAACTTATATAGCAAATGCTTTTTACAAATAACTCGAATAAGGTATATTTTCAAATAATAATAATAATGCTACATCATGCAATAGGTCCACCTTGGAAATTGAGGCTGAACATTGTTTGCCATTTTGAGTATATGCAAAACAAATGCAATTATTTTTAACAAATAAAATTAAAAAACCTGCTTCGTCTGTCTTTGCTTAGCCTGTTTTAACTGCTTTGTCTTTACAGTTCAGTTTTTTTGTGTGTGTTTTACTGTAATTCATTGTTACTGTTGATACAGACATCTGTTACTACAAAAAAGAAAGAAAGAAAAAAAAAAACCTGCTTCGTCTGTCTTTGCTTAGCCTGTTTTAACTGCTTTGTCTTTACAGTTCAGTTTTTTGTGTGTGTTTTACTGTAATTCATTGTTACTGTTGATACAGACATCTGTTACTACAAAAAAGAAAGAAAGAAAAGAAACAAAAATCAGCATACAGAGAACAATGTTTGAGTGTGTGTCTGTGTCCCATTCATGCCCTTAGGAGAAAATTGTCTTAAGCAACCGGGAGAGCAGATCAAACATACAAAAAGACCCAAAAATAAAAATAAAATAAAATTACACCATTCCAAAACATATAATTCCTATACTCCCTTAGGAGAAATTTGTCTTAAGCAACCGGGAGAGCAGATCAAACATACAAAAAAATAAATAAATAAAAATAAAATAAAATTACACCATTCCAAAACATATAATTCCTATACAATCCTAGTAATACACCAACATTACATGTTACCCATCACATTACCCTCACCCACACAACAATTTCAATCACTTATTCAATAATTTGACAGATAATGGAATTAGAGAAAATTTTTTTCTTTTCAGCTTACAGATTGGAACCCTATATCTCCTGCCCGAGGGCATTAGCTCATACTCCTTATGGAGAATATGGCTTTGGTCACCAATAATTTTAAGACTCTGCTTCCTAACAGACCTCTCAAAAATGTCCTGAAGAGAAAGTGGAGACAACATACCAATTATTTTTCCAGCTCTTCTAACCACATTTTGAAGTTGTGACCTAAGTTTAACAGTCAAATTTCCAAACCATATTGTAAAACCCCATTTTTACAATGACAATTTGTCTGTGTTAGGTCTAAATTTAAATGTAGCATGGAGTAATTTAGTCCACATTGGTTGCTGATTAAAAATAAAAAAAACATTAGTTTTCTACTCTTCAGTGAAAATATGGTTGATGAAACATGGAATGTTGAAAACGTATAATGTATTTGGTGTGATATTACACCAAATAAACCAAATAATCAGTTATCCTATACAGTACATGTGACCGTGTATGCAATAAATACTTTAATTTGATTATTTTGATTATTTTGATTCTTTTTGAAATGTGAATAATAGATGTTCACCGAGATAACCTGACACTTAAATGCTAAACATGAATATCAACATGGACAGACCATCTGGCAAATAATTTCTGGGAAAGCCTTACAGACCAGTGTTCTGCTTGCTTTAATAAACAATTGTATGTGATATAAAATTGATCTATCATATATGATCGCATATGACAGATGAGTTCTACCAGTGTTGATCATCTGAAAACGTTATTTAATATTTATTAATAAATCCTAGATGGATGGTACAAATAATCTCTCTGTAACTTTAAATTTACCAACCCCCAAATTCTGAGGTCAGCTGTCTCAGTTAACCCCTTTGCTGCCATTTGAGTATCTCTCTTGAGTATCTATGTTCTATATATATATTTTTTTTATGTCTTCCACACTAATGTACTTGATTTTTGATTGGAAATAATACATTAAATGTCAGACTGTACTTTTTATTTAAATAAATAAATAAAATTGTATGGATTGTGTGTTGAAGTGTTGCCAGGATTTAGACAAAACCCTTTTCGTATCTTTTGAGAATTTGATGACACAAAATAATGAAGCATAATCCATCTGAAATGGTATACAACAATAAACAGCTACAGACTGCAACAGCATTGAAACATTCTCTTATATATAATACATATCCAAGATTATAATACATCATACAGAATAAGTACAAAGTTTGTGCTGCATGGACCAATGTTTAATATAACAGTTAGTAAAAATATAAGACCTTAACATCCTAATGAATTATCCCTTTAAAATAATAATAATAATTTAAAATTAAAATTTAAGCCATTTTGTATGTCTCTCCAATTTGGCACACTCAGTTTGTGGAGCTCTTTCCTAATGAACTGATGATCTGAATCTGCGCCAGGGCCAGAATTGAGAACCACTGATTTTGGCTTACCCTAAATCAGGATGGATATGTTTGCATGTTGAGAGGCAAGATATTATGCAAAAAAAAATAGTCCAGAACCAGCACATATTGTGGGGGGAAAGGATTAAATAAAAATGGTTAAATTGATGAGTCTCTCCTTTCCTCTCAAATAAGTTGTCTGTGTGGAAATATGTTTATGTATTAATTAGTATTGCACACTCACTTTAGCACTTTTAAGCATTATTCGGTTAAGCATTTGTAATCCTAATGGTATAATTCACCCTGATGTATGACTACCAAACTTGCATGACTTTCTTCTTGAACATAAAAAAAAAGGAGAAAATTTGTTGAGAAAAATTGAGAAAGTCATGCAGGTTTAAAACAACATGTGTATATGTGAGTAAATGATGACAGAATTTTCATTTTGAGTGAACTATGCTTTTTAACTGTTATTGTAAATGTTATAATAAATGTTATTATTATTTATGTAAAGAAATGTGTTAAAGGTGCGCTCAGTACTCTTTGTTTGTTATGTGCTGATCAATATGGCAGCTACTCAGGACTTATTGACACCTAAAGCTGTGGATGCAACATCATGCACAAGCAAAAGTGTAAAATAATGAGTTACTGAGATAAAGTGAGCATTATTTGGCCAGCATATGTCTATCCCCATGAGGCAAACCTCTCCACGTGCAATAACAATCCCCATAAAGCAGTGTTTCCCAAACCTGTTCCTGGAGGCACACCACCACCAGTACAAATTTTCTAAAATTCGTCCTAATCAAACACACCTGATTCAACTCATTAGCTCATTAGTAGAGACCTCAAGACCTAAAAATGATGGGTCACATAAGACATCAAAAATGTTTGTTGTTGGTTTGCCTCTATAGGGCTGCGTTCCACTTTGTTAGTTTGTTTTTTTATGCCCTTCCCTCGCTAACTTTCCTCCATCTCGTTGACTCGGATGTACGTCATTGATTACGTTGCACGAGTGCCCACTACTAGTGAAA